GAGGTGGGATTTGCCCTGTACCTTGCAGTGGGTGGAGGGATTGTGTTTCTTCAAGTAGCTCATGTACCTGCCAGTTGGAAGAAAGATGTTTTTGAATTATTCTGGTGGTGAAAACTGGTGTCATGTGGGAGCACCTTGGGGAAACGTGGTGCTCTCCTGCACTGGGTTACTGGCAGGCCTGGTCTGCCCTCCAGCTGCAAGCAGGTAATACATCTTATGACCTGGAAAAAAAAAAAAAGGAAATTGCAAAGAAACTCTAGTTGTGTTTCCCACTGTGCTCTTTTATGGAAGGGTTTGTTCAAAAGCAGAGATTTATTTTTTTCCCTCAAGACTCTTATTGCAGAAATACCAGATATGTCACAGCCAGTCTTGCTGACTGTTTCATGACATCTGTAGGCTTTCCCCAAGCACTGGACATTAAAATTCTACCCTGAAATTCGTAGGTGTTAAAAGAATAAACAGAGCTCAGAGCTGTAGGTTGCCTGACTGCAGATTACTGCCTCTTCTGTCTCTAGAAGTTAATTGCATTGGAAATGTCATCTGGCTTTGAGCATCGAAATCTGTAGCATCCCCAGGATTTATTTTGCAATACAAAGTTTGAAGCTCCTTCTTGTCATTAGGAAAGGTTTTGTGGTTCTGGTGCTTGTCCACCTGAGCATCACCCCCAGTGAGAAGATGACTTTCCATCAGCAGGGCTTAGCTGAGAAGGGTTCTGGTAGTAAAAGGTGGACTTGCCTCCCTGTCAGGTTGGCTCAGAGCTGACTGATAAGTTCGGGAACCCTCACTACCAGAAGGATGTAGAGTTGCTAGAGTGTGTCCAGAGGAGAGCTACCAAGCTGGTGAAAGGTCTAGAGAATAAGTCCTATGAGGAGAGGCTGAGGGAAATGGGATTGTTTAGTTTGAAGAAGAGCAGGCTGAGGGGAGACCTCATTGCTCTCTACAACTACCTGAAAGGAAGTTGTAGGGAGGTGGGAGTTGGGCTCTTCTCCCAAGTGAATAATGACAGGATGAGAGGAAATGGCCTGAAGCTGCACCAGGGAAGTTTAGACTGGATATTAGAAAGAATTTCTTTACCCAAAGAGTGGTTGGACAGTGGAACAGGCTGCCCAGGGAGATGGTGGAGTCACCATCCCTGGAAGTGTTTAAAAGAAATACAGATACAGTGCTTAGTGACATGATTTGAGCACTGAATGGGTAGATGAGGTTATAGCAGGGGGACTGAGGTTATGGTTGGACTTGATGATCTTCAAGATCCCTTCCAACTAGGATGATTCTATGAGCCATGTTAACCCAGCACCTTGGCTGTGGTCTGTCCTCTCCCTGTATCCCAGACATCTCTCCATGCTCTGTTCTCAGCCAGGAGAACCAGGGAGACCTTGAAGCCACGTGCTGCTCCCGTGGGTCAGCTTGTGAAGCCCTTCCTGGGCTGTTGTGTGTGCTTGTGCCTGTTTGTCGACACAGAGGCCACCCCTTGTTCTGGGAGTTTAAACAAGATAACTGGTAGGAAAGAGAGAGGCTGCTGTCCCCCCCCAGCAGTGTCTGGGAGAGCACAGGCAGAGTATGATCTGTCGTCTGTGAAAAATGTTTGCGTTTGACAGCTTTTCACAGAAAGCCTGTCAGAGTGATAATTTAATGAGTACAGATTGCTGGCAACACAGCTGTAAAACGTGCTTTTACAGTGCTGTAAAATAAGCAACTGAGGCCTTTGTGTGTTTGCTTTGTTTGAGAACAAGTCAACTCCTAATACAAATGAAAGGTGGTCATTTATTTTACCCAGCAAACAGTCAAGACGTAAGAGAGGAACCTGCCATTTTTCTTCTTGTGGTGGCAAGGTTAATGCTAGGTTACGTTGGTGTTTGCTAATCAGCTTGTTTCTGTGAGGGGGAGAATTAATATCTAATTAGATGTAGGGAGTTACTTATCAGATTAGCATTTAAGTCAGAAAAAGGACTTTGGGCTTTCTTCTCTTCATTGCAGATGTCTCTGCCCACGGTTTGCACAAAGAAAAGCTCAGTGTTTGTTCCTGTGCCCAAGCTGATTTCTTGAAGGGCAGACAGAAACTGAGGATGCAGACTTACAGGATGCCACCAGCTTGAGTAAAGAATTACATATTCATACATATATATACACACACGTAATCTATACATATATATATGTACTTGTATTAAAAAGTGCATCTATGCTGCTAACAACATTAGCAATGCTAATGCAACAGCTGTGCATTGCATGGAGGAAGATCATAGAATCACAGAATGATTGGGGTTGGAAGAGACCCTAAAGATCATGTTGTTCCAAACCCTCTGCATGGATGGCAGCTAGTTGCCATGCATGTCCTACCACTGGGTCCATCCCTGCTTGCCGGTGGGGATTGTCCCCTTTCATCCCCAGTGCTGTGCTGAGCATCCCTTCTCTCTGCTGTCCCAGCCTCATCCCCAGCCCAGGAACCTCAAGGTGCTGGTGAGGCCACCCATAGGCCAAGCCACTGGTGCCAGTCACCAGGGTGTCCCCTTCAGCACCATTCAGGGGTGCAGACAACTGCTTTGTGGGGTGGGTGGTGGCTTTGTGCTGCAGACACAGCCTCCTCTGTCCTCCTTCCCTTCTTACTTGGAAACTGGCACTTGAGAACAGGTGTTTTCTGTGTGAGAAGATGCTGGCTGGTGCTCAAGCCAGAGATGATGGCTTTGCACACTTGTGGTGCCTCCTTCAACAGTGTTGTGTTTGCTGGGGGTTTAGAAGTGGCTAATTTTGGTGGGAAGTTTTAATTTCCTTTCACTACCTTCCTTTTAGGCAAGGGAAAGTTGCTGGCTGGAAGACTGCAGGTGCTCAGGTATTTGCTGCTAGTTAGGATAATTAATGAACATACCTGGTTCTAGCCCACATGAGAAATAGCTGAGAGATTAAGTACTGTAAAGCCTGGATACAGATTGTTCAACTTCCACTTTGGAGTGTAACCAGTAAAATTATTTGGGGCAGGAGAATAAATTGGTGATGATATTCATGGGTGTATTCCTTGAGATAACTTTCCTGGCTTAAAATACTGCTTTGGGTTTTTTAGACTGTTAGTTGGAAGGATTTAATAGATTCCCCATCAATATAATTTCTAAATCTAATTATTTTTTAAGAGTTTGATGCTGCATCTGCTAGCTCTTGTGCCTGGCACAAAAGTATTTAAATAAACAACTTATTTGGTGATACTAAAAAGGTCTGAGCAGAGGAAGGAAGTGAGCCTTCACAATGATTAAGTGAATTCGTAATTAATATACACCAAGCTAATCTCTATAGTATAAATTCAACAGCAAAAATATCTTCCTGGTGAGGAAATG